CCCCTCACTCCCGACCCGCAGCCCCTGCCAGCCCAGCCCTGCACCCTCAGCTCTGCCGGTGCCCCTCACTCCCGACCCGCAGCCCCTGCCAGCCCAGCCCTGCCCCCTCAGCTCTGCCGGTGCCCCTCACTCCCGACCCGCAGCCCCTGCTAGCCCAGCCCTGCCCCCGCTGCCCTGCTCCTAGCCACCTGGCTGCTCAACATTCTCTGAAGCCCCGCCCCCTGGCAGCTAAAGCCACGCCCACCAGTATAGGCCAGGCCCTAAGGGGAGAGTGCCATGGAACAGCTGTCCAGTGACTCCGCCCCCTTCCAGCCACACCCACCCAGCTGCGACTGGGCCACGGAATCACCCCCACTCCCACATGGACTCTCCCTCGTGGCCAATGGATGGGTCCTGCCTACCCCATGTCAAATGACCCCGCCCCCTTCCGGCCACGCCCACCCAGGCACAAGCCCTGCCCCTGCAGGGGAAAATGACCGTGGCTTCCCCGCAACATGGTGGGTCACAGCCACCACGCTTCAGCCTGCCGCAACTATTCTCCTCCATGGGACGAAGCATGGGTCTGAGCCGGGGCAACGGGGAGGAGACGGGATACCGGGCTAGATGGGCCCATGGGTCTGATCCAGCCGGGTCCCTTGTGCACACTGTTTTAATTTAAACGCGAAAGACTGGAATAATAATAAATAAATAATTTATGGTTCTGCAGTGCCTGAATGCAGGTTACAAAAGTGCTTTACAAACAAGAATAAAAGAAACCTTAGAATAATTCCGGGGGGGGTGAGAGGAGAGGGGGAATTAGACTGCTATTGTACATGGGGAAACTGAGGCACCAAGCGAGGAAAGAACAGAACTGGGGATAGAACCCAGGAGTCCTGGCTCCCAGCCGCCAGTGCACTAACCCACTAGACCCCACTGCCCTCGCAAACATAGAACCCAGGAGTCCTGGCTTTCAGATGAGGTGTAGGGCACAAGCCGCAAGAAGCAGGGTGTTGGCTAGCACCATGGGCGCATGACTGAAGCTGCCGTCTTTGAATTTTTTCTCGCGGTTCCTGTTAGCCACGGAGCTGTGGGCTGTTCCGTTCGTGGTGCCCTGGACAAACGCCAGGTCTGGGACGGTCTCTTGGAGCCAGCCGTGGTAACTGGTGACTCGGACGTAAACGCCGGGGCGGTTTTTCTGAGCACAGCCTTCTCCCCAGCTCACCACGCCTGCCTGGACCCAGCTCTGTCCCATTTTACACACCAGTGGACCGCCGGAATCACCCTAGTGGTCAAAGAGACAGACGAGGGGTTAGTGAGATGCAGCCACCTCTGGGGTGAGATGTGGGGGCTGGTTATACAGGGACCCCCTTGCCCAGCACTGAGATGTGGCCCCTCTGGGTTGGGGCACAGGGGATGTTCATAGAGGGACCCCTCACCCAGTGCTGAGACATGGCCCCTCTGGGGTGCGGGGTGGGGGCTGGTTATGTGTGGACACCTCGCCCGGCGCTGAGATGCAGCCACCTCTGGGGTGGGATGTGGGAGCTGTTTATATGGGAACCCCCCACCCAGCACCGAGATGCAGCTGGCTCTGGGGCAGGGCTCTCACCTGACAGGCGTCCTTGCCCCCTTCGGTGTACCCGGCACACAGCATGTCCTCCTGGATGGTCTGCCCTTTGCCCTTGCAGTAGAGGGCGTTGCACGTTTCCTGGGCGATGATGGGCACCTCGAGCTTCTGCAGCATCTCGGGGGCTTTGCCGTTCCCTGCTGTGGGAGGGGGCAGCGTGAGAGCTGGGCTGGGAGCCACACCCACTGCCCCTCCGCCTGGGGGGGGCACAATCCCTTCCCCCACCCACACCAACTTGTATCTCCTGCTCCTTTCTGCCCTGCACGCTGCATTGTCTCCTCCGGTTCACATCTATCCGCCATCTTCCTTCCTTTCTTCTTCCCCCGGCTCTCGCTTTTTCGTCTTTCTTATTCCGTTCACCTTCCTCTTTCTTTCGTTTGTTCTGATGCCATTCACTCTCTTTCTTTCTTTCCAGTACAGCCAGGCCCCAGATTCTCTATGTCCTCCCTCCGCCCTACAGGATCAGGGCCCTGTCTCCCCGCTCCCCCAACCCCAGTCCCACCCATCACTCACCTCCATCTTTGTCTTCCCCCCAGCCAGTGACCCAGCACTTGGTCTCTGGCAGGAACTGGACCTGGGCGTCCGGGAGGCAGATGGGGACGATGCGGTCGGTGAGGTTCACGGGCCTCTCTAGCCGGACCAGGGCGATATCCCCACTGGAGATTTTGCCCCCGTAGCGGGGGTTGGGGATAATCTGCCCCACGGAGGCTATGACAGCATGGGGGCTGGGGTGCAGCTGCTTGGAGGTCCCAAGTAGCACTGAGAACCGGGAAGGGTTCCTGGTCCTAGAGACAGAGAACAGCAGTGAGGGGAGCCCGGGGCTGGGCTAGCAGGGGCTGCGGGTCGGGAGTGAGGGGCACCGGCAGAGCTGCGGGGTGCAGGGCTGGGCTGGCAGGGGCTGCGGGTCGGGAGTGAGGGGCACCGGCAGAGCTGCGGGGTGCAGGGCTGGGCTGGCAGGGGCT